TTTTATTTTGTAAACCACATTTAGTCTCGTTTTTATTCGTCAACAATATTGCATTATACATTTAATTATAGTCATCGTCACATGACCAGCATTTACGTTGCGTTTACAGCTCGTCTCGTTTTCGTCACGTAGTAAAGGTTCGTTGACGACGATATTTAGTCATAATTTTCGTTGACGAAAGCAACACTACCCCTCACTAACAGAATTTCATGTGAAATGTTTTCATGCAATATTACTGTGTTTTAGATTCCGACTTGTAAAAACCATTCACGTACTCGTCCTTTTTATGAGCCGTTTTCTGAAGCGTTCTCACTTCTCTAGACAGCCACTGACAATCACATAAGCATAGCTCTTTAATTGCACACTAATTTCTAGTCAAACGCACTTAAATCACTGTAGCCTAATGTAATCTATTAACTACGCAAATCGTAACGTTTTAGGCAAGTACCGTATTATGTCATAAAATATTTTAATAAGACTGAATTTGTATTTAACCTGATAACATGTTTAATAAAAATACATTTTAAGTTTAATTATAATGCCACATGTCCACAATTATTCAGGCAATGAACACATTATACAGAGAGCAAAGAACATTTACATTATGAAAAAACATCACTGAATTCAGTCTAGCATGAGTGTAAGCACTCTAAAAAAGCTCTAGTTATAATAAGTGATGCTGTCTGCAGTGTATAATGAATGAATCTCTTATTAACATGTACGTCTGCGTTTTGTTGTTTCTGAGAATAGAATCACCACAGAGACTTGCATCATTAGTTTCCGAGGTGTATGTGAGGTCTCGCCAGAGTTTGAATGGATTGGGGAGGCAAGTAACATGTCATGTATCGTGGTCAATTCAAGTGTCTCAAGCCCCTCAAACAGTTGGATGAGTAAGGGTCCGGCCCAGAGCTCTATTAGGAGCTGCATACTGCAAAGGACTTAGAAGCAGTTGTACGCTCTGTGGACAGCCTGGTGATCCTAGATCATCATCTTTGTCTGACACTCACAGAGATGCACAGTTCTGTGAAAACCTCTCTCATGGACACCTGTGATGTTCTTTCACTGTCTTTGTGTTTTGGGTGCTTCACAGCGCACTCTGCTCATGCTGTTCACCGTGACACTAAGAAGCACATTTCCCCTGTTGTGTTACATCCCAGATTGTTTTGACTTCTCAAGTGATGCCGAGTTCAGCCTCACCATCCTCCCCGGCCGACACGCCCCACAGGACCCAGCGGCCAATCACGAGCCAGGAGGGAGGGGCTCTCTCACAGTCACACATGAGGGTAGGCAGGGGGGTGGAGACAGATCATGGAGGTGGGCTTTTCCCCTTAGAATCACCCAGTGGCCTCGCTTCCTTCAGGGCACCTCAGCTTTCCCAGAATGTACCTCCCCAAAACCCCTGCGAGTCATGCTGACCCTGGTATGATGCACACGAGTGAAGTGCGAGGACGTTACTGAGAATCTTGACATAAACACCAGTGAAAGTCATTCATTCTCATTGTCGAAAAGCTTCTTACAAAACTGCTTCTGTTGACTTACATTACTGAAATTAAATTTCCACTACTGTAGCTGAAATCTCAGCTCATCGCATACACACTTGTGAAAAGGTTTCTCGGTCACTAATTAAATCCCTTTTATGCAGACATGAAATTGATGAGAAGTTGATGAGACACTGTTTCTAGAGGTGTAAATAGTACAATTATACCGACAATTGCAATTACTGATGTGGCAATTCTCTTAACAAATTTCATTGTAAATTTCATTTGGTAATGAAATAACAATTTCATTACCAAAGATAAAAAATAAGAGCTTTTGCAAATTCATTTTTAACAGTTTACCTACTTTAAATATTATTCTTCTTTTAATATTTGCAAATGAATAATGAAACAGTTGCATGCAAGTAATTTTCAACTAATAAATATAGGTTAAGTCAGTTATAAAGAACAAAGACCCACATTACAAGCAATAAACAAAAAGTGCTTTCAGTGTCAAAGTTGTCCAAAGGGACTTTTTGTGCTACAAACCAGTATGTTTATGATTACAATAATTGACTAAAATAATATTAATTTACATTTAATCATTTAGCAGATGCTTTTTTCCAAGGTGACTTACAAATAAGGGCAACAGAAGCAATACGATAGCAAATATGATAAATATGATAGCAAATACCAGTTTGCAACATTAAGCAGCATAACAGACTGTTTACGTTCAGCTAAAATAACTGGAACTGGATGACACTGGAAGCCTCGCGCATTCAGGGTTAAAATCTGCCGCAGTTGCCATTACAGTAAAAATAAGTGGA